CCCCCCCCCCCCCCCCACTTTAACTTTAAACAATAAGTCTCACCCACTAAAGGTGAGGCTTACCTGTTAACTGATTAGCTGGTTAAATCTTCACATCCCTAAGTGATTTAGCAAATCCAGATGGTTTCTGGCTTCTATTATTATAATATAATAATAATGCACAACAGAGTCCTTATAACTTGCCCTTTAAACATACTGATAATGTAAGTACTGTGAGTAATGCAAAGTATGCTGAGTTAATGAGCTGTAAACAGGCAATGAAGTGTTTTACCATGTAATTTGAGGTCAATAGCTGAACAATGAGTCTTACAGGTGTGTGTTCTTTTAAAGCCAGAAAGTCCTTGTTTAAAAAAAAAAAAAAAAAAAAAAAATTTCCTGACCTCCACTCAGCAACAGTAGGATCCTATTGATCTTCATGGTGTTAGTTCATAAAACCAATCTCCCTCCCCTGACTTAGTCTTTCTGAGCAGGAGGTTGTCACTATTTTTAGAAAATGCCCTGCCCTCTGCATATTTTGAATTCTTTCACTATTATAATCAATGCTGTTGAGCAGTCTGGTTGAGTCTCCTAATATTTGCTCCTCTGTACCTTTATTTCTCCAAATACTGCTTAGAACCATGCAAATGGAAGCTTTCATCCTACATTTCTAATCTCCTGCCTTCTGGAATTTTTCTTGTTGTTAGTCACTTTTAGAGATACTAATTGACCTATTTTATAGCATTTGCTCTGCCTAACCAAAGGAATTAGCCTAGCCCTAGCAGATAGCTAGTTCTCTGCTTTGTCCTTGAAGCTAAAGAGATGAGGGGTTGTGTAAATCTTAGGCTTCTTGCAAAACCAATTCTGCTCTATATCAAATATGAAATGTGCTAGTGGATTTTAATTTATCATATTTGGTACTAATTTGGCTTCCCTCAGCACTCATTTCTAGCTGACTAGCACATTTCTAGCACTGACTAGCACATTACATAGCTAACTGCCTGGTATCTTGTTGGTCTTTTCATTTAGGACACAGGTAAAGAGGCTGTCAACAGAAACAAGAATAATATTTATTTCAGAAAGTTCTCTTATGGTAGAGATCTGCAGAACATATAGAAATTACAGATGCTGCCCTGCAGGTCTGATGACCTAAAAGATGTGGGAAGGGTTGTTAATGCTACAGTGTGTATATGTATGTACCTCTAGGTAATTATTTGACAGTAGTCCTATGAGGATATATCTCTCACCCTTTTTACACCTGTGTAAAGTGTGTTACAAAGTAGTTAATTCTGAAAATCAGGCTAGTCAATGAGAACTGTTTGCACTCAGTACCTTTGAAGTGGGAGCCCAAAGTGGTTCACCCAAGGTCACAAAACCAGACTGTAGAACCCAAGATGCCTAAATCCTAGCTCCTGACCTGAGTAGTCATAGAACATGATTATTTGTTTTGCATTAATGTATCTTTTAATTTGTAATATAGAGTGTCATAAAAAGAGCATAAGTATAGCATGATGAAGTACACCTGTCATACGTACATCAAGCGGCTGGTTACATTTCAAAGAGATCTAAAAGACTTCTAAGAAAAAAACAATTTGCAAATTGAGCTCTTATGCAAACTGTATTAATAATATTCAGTAACTCGACTGTGATTCTGGAATATAAAACAAAACACATATATTTTATTTGAAATGTGGAACAGTCTACAGTAGAGGCCATATGGTGGTGGTATTTTTTGGTTGTACAGCAATATTAGAACACGGTTTCAAAATGAATCAGTCATCTGGCCCTTGAAATATTTATATTACAGCAAAGCAACATAGGATAATTAACTTTTTATCATTTGTATTATTTTCAATGCATATCTGTGGTCTAATGACAATTAACTATGCATTTCTTTATATCCTGACTGTCATTTTGCATTAACAGTAAAAATATTCAACTGTTAATTAAGCTAACTTCATTAGCATGAAGAACATGTTTTTGTATGTTTAAGAGAGCAATTCATTTTAGTATTGAATCGTATATCTTTGTTAAAGCATTGTCAGTAATCACTCTCCATTTCCTGTTTTCTAGTTGAAGCTTTATATCAGACCACTTACCCAGAGTATCTCCAGTACATTTACTTAGTGGCTCCAATATCTCTTATGATGCTAAATCCTCTTGGGTTTATCTTATGTGAAATCCAGAAATGGAGGGATAATCGCAGTATGTCACACAACAAAATAAAAATAGTGGGTCTTGCGCTCCTTCGAGTGTTGCAGAACCCAATAGTATTCATGGTATTCATAGGAATTGCCTCCAATTTTATTCTTGGCCAGAAGATTCCAGTGTATTTTGAAAACTTCCTTGATGGACTAGCCAGTTCATTTTCTGGCTCAGCACTTTTTTATCTTGGTCTCACTATGGTGGGACAAATAAAAAAACTGACAAAGAATGCATTTGTTGCACTGATTCTTCTCATCACAGCTAAACTGTAAGTTTGACATGTTTGCTTTTGTATTTACATGTTTCAATATTTTTGTATATCTCAATATTTAGAAAAGTGTTATCTGGAGAGTCAATATATCTAATACTTATCCGTATCTGTTAAAACAGATCTCTCTTTAAAAAAAAAAAACATTCTAACTTGCTTAGCTAGTCAAACTGGTGAGCTGTATTTGTTCCTAATTGCTTTTGAGTTGTTTTAATTTCTTGTGCTATTCAGAATTGTTTACATTCCCTAAATGTGTATTTTGGGTTAAATTATTTTTAAAACTGACTTCTGTCCACATTAGACTATAAAACTATACCTAAAATTTACATTTAAATTCATAGTTTCCCTTTAAAATTCAGCTGATTTGACAATGAAGTAATTTCTGCCATCTCTTTGCCCTCACTAAATAGAGATAAATGTATTTA